TTTTCTGCTTCTTTTGTTGGTTCTTCTTGTGTGAATCATTAGCTGTTTTTCCTTAATCTTTTTTGCCTGTGAACTATACCATGCCTTACTCAGGGAAAAACCAATATATTTGTTTGCACAACTTGAGAAACAAAATATATTGCAGAGATAGGGAACATATTTTAGAACCAATGCATATTTTTAATTTCTGAGAACAAACTGTGACCTCATACATAAAAGTGCTGTTAAGGGCAGCTCTCTGACATTAAGGTGTGGCTAGTCATAAATACTCATTTGCCAAATAGGATATTGATTAGATTGTTCTCTGTCACTCTTTCCAGTTCCTTAGCATACTTCCATCACTGCAGTTTAACTTGGTCTCTTTTTTTAAAAAGGGAAGGATGCACACAACTTCACGTACTGCATTAGCCAACTACCATTTTTATATTCTAAGAATGCACTACTCTATCCAAGAGAACAGGTGGCATACAAAAGGTTGGAAGTAAATAAATAGTGTTGAGGTGCTAAATGATGTTACAAGTTGGTAATTTATTTTAAGGATCTTTGTTTCTGTGAACATTAAGCAGGGGATAAAGTTTTTATGTTTGAAAAAACCTCAAGAAGTTATATGATATATTCAGGGAGGTTATAGCAAAGGGAAACTGAAAATTCTAAAACTGACTTCTGTGTTTAAAATGCTGACACTAAATTTTGCATAGATGAAAGTATTGAGATAAGACTGATACTAAGGACTACCTGGCTAATATCCATCCTTTTTCTCCCAGCCCCTATTATCTGTATTGGGAATAACAGTAGATTTAAAACAAACTAGAAAATAAAAAAGGTGGCTGAAAGAAAAAAAAATTCTTTAAAACCTAGTGCTAGTTCACTGTACCATCATTTTTCAATAGTAAATAAAGGGAAGGGGTTACCCCATTCCTTTGCTAATGCAAGTCAAACTACTCCTGTTCAGGTTCAATCCCAGGTTTTTAAATTTAAAATGGTGCAGGAATCTCTCTTTTATAATGAAAATAAGAGAGGATGCAGTGCAGGCATTCTTTTTCACATATCCCTGGAAACTATCTCTTCAAGAATCCACCAGTATGTTTAAGATACAATTGGAATGCTTTCTAAAAATATAATGCCAAGAGTGAAGGTGTTATGGGGCACTTGTTTTAGTTTGGTACATCACTAAAAATTCAAAAGTTGTCTGTCTCATATGCAGATATTGTTCCATAAAGCTTTTGATAGACACAAAGCTTTTGCCACATAAAACAATTTTTGATTAAAAGGAGTAATATCAGAACAGATATCTGCAATATCTGTTATATACCAATACTAGTAGAATCACAAACTACAACTCCCTTGAGAATACCAATATATTTATACATTCATAATATAAATTACCATTTTTTGAGAATAACAAATTAATGCAAAACAGAAGAAATTTAAACTTGGGATTGGAAGCACACAGAGACTGGAATTCTCCAGGTTTTACTTTTGTAATTTCCAAGATACTAAGAAGCTGAAAGTGGTTTGTTTTAAACAGAAAGTAATAATAACCCATAATGATGTACTGCTGGTCACTTGTCACCATTGTATGGAAATATTTATCTTGAGTATTTAAATTTTAATTTGATGTTTATGATTTTTGAAGGATCTGAATGTTTCTGCATTGACAGGAACATTCCAGCAAATATGTGAGAAGGCAAATTAGGAGATTTTAGTGAGAATGATTCAAAATAACTCTACTCAAAATATATGTTAAAGGATATTTCCTCACCCACATCTTCAGTGCAGAAAAATGTCAGCATCTGTGAGAAAAATTATAATGTGTGATAGATGTCTTAAGAGACTGGGAATCTGCTATTAGTCAAATTAGCCACAGAAAATTATTTTCTAATTGTACTCAAAGCAAAGGCTTCTAAAAGAAATGTTCAGTTTGGAAATCTATAGCAGCATGAAATTAGCCAGGTAGTAGTATGAACAGGTAACTCACTCACAGAGCTCTCCTTTTTACAAATCCAATGCATCTCCATTAAAATAAAGCTCCAGCTGATTAAAAAAAAAACTAGTGAAGAAAAAGGAATGGATAAAAGAGTGGCTGTACTGTAATACTGAATTCTAACATGCATGTTAATGGAATCTTGATAAGTATATCTGATCCCTATAAGTACAGTTTATAGTGATTACTTTTGAATTGCAGTGTGCTGAACTTTAATATTTGTGGAAATTTACTTGTTAGTTTTGCTAAACTCCTCCTTCAAGTCTTTACTTGAACCATTTATTCTAATTAAAGATTTCTTTTACAAGAATTATCATATGATCATAGTAAAACTTAATAAATGCACAAAACTTAGCAAAAAGTGCAAAGAAAGAAAAAGTATAAAGTGTGCTTCCTTACGAACATTTTGTGCCTTTTTTCTTAAAATGGGGAAATGCGGAGAGAAGAGAGACCAAAAATAAAGTTAAAAGTACACAAACATTTTAAATAATTTTGTTTATAATATTGATAATGACATATATTACTATTTAAATCAACAATTTTATCAATACACAAACTTCTAGTATATTTAAGCCATAGTTTCTACTTTCCATAATATATATATATATATCTTCATTTAAAAGGGCAGGGAACTAACTCTATAATTCTTCATGGCATACTCCAAAATAAACACCAATTTGAATCTGCACACCTATTTGTAGCAATGCCTTTGGACCCATAAGGGTTTCAAAGATGGTAAAGAAAATCCTAGGATCTAGTTCACCTTCTTATAGGTGCTTTACAAATAGATGCTTTACAAAGTCCATGCCCTCAATGCAACTATTTTCAGAATAGTCAACTAACCTATGACAGCTATTCAATAAACATGCCTATTTATTATTAAATTTCAAATGTGATCCCAAGTAAAAATGGTAGCCTATCTATGTATAGACCAGGACAATGTGGCTCAGCATTAGTGAGTCATATGTTTGGTGCTGAGAAGAAGCTCAAATGCACTGGCTCTCTTCACATCTTTTCTGATGGTCTTTATTTTTCTAAGATATTATTCAGAATCCCTGGCTCAAAGTTGTTATTAGAAATGTTGACCATGTGGGAGAACTGAATGGAGTGTGTCTCTGTGCATTCTTTTTATGAGTATATCATTGCACAAAATCTTTCAATTTGCCAGATCAGAATTTTCTCCTAAAGAATTACCTTTTCCCTTATAAGTGAATCACACAAATCAGTAAAGGTGAACTCAATTGTTCTCCAGAAGCAAGCAGTTTCTAGGATTTTTGCTATTTCACACAACTTGAAGCCTCCCTTAATTTTTTAAATTGTTCAGAATAATGTTTTCTTTATTCTAGTTATCCTCATTTCAGCTCTGGAACTATAAACTCTTTGTGATTGTTGTAATTAATTACTCCTGAATATGCCTGTTAGGGTATAACATTTTGCCTATTGCCCCTATTCTATGAATTGACAATCTTGACATCACCCTTCTGAAACAGTTATTTAATATCTCAAATTTAACCATTTATAGTTTTTAATATAATTTGAAACAAACATTCAGGGGCCCTTTTAATGTTTTGCTTCCTATCTCTAACGTCATTGCCAGAGAATATTATTTAGAATGAGTCTTTTCTTGGCTGGTCTTGGATGATGGTAATCTGGATTACATTTGAATTTGAATTTGAACATTTCCTATTCCTAACATAAACCAAATGTTTCAGTTACTGCTATATATCAAAAGAGTTAAACATATAAGAAAATTAGGGTTACTAGAGAGAACTGTGAAATGAAAAGCACATACTCAGATATATGCAGGGCACAACCACCGCAAATTTTATTTTCACACATTTGATCAATCTTGCTGCTCATTTTTAAAATTCTCTCTATTGATTCTACATGCCGCCAAACTGTTTTTCTTTTTCAGATCAAGAACAATTAAAATATTCTAGTTAAAGAGAATAACTCGTGGGTGATTCCTCTAGAATTTCAGTATTCAAACTGGCACTAGTTGAAGTTATTGAGATACGCAAATTATTTTCAGTGACTTAGAACATTTCTATTTCAGGACTTTCTGCATAGAATGACAGCAAGATTCCAGGCATTTTCCAGCCAAACCTCAAAAAAGAGCCTGATAATTCCGTTTGTGCTAAATAATCTTTATTAAAAACTATCTAGTTTTAAGTGTATGTGTGTGCTTGTGTATGAAAATAATTGCAAAAAGAAGAGGCCGAAAGGCACGTTTGCAAAATCAGTTGTGCAGTTTTTATTTTACTGCACTTTTATCACATATGTCATATATTACACAGTGGAAAACCGTTAAATGCACAGTAGTTGTGCCAAGTGGCATTATGCTTTTAACAGCTTTATTCGTTTAACAGTTCCAGTTCTCATTATATTTTGCCATGTGGTACGTGAGATTTTTATTCTTTTAACAGTGTATAAAAGGGGTCCATGGCATTTTCCTTTTATGTATTTCATATTGCACTCATGTTTTTTTTTCTTCTCTGTGAATATTAAGCCTTGGGCAAAACTAAAAGGAAGGGTGTATCATAAAACATGAAGTGTTAAAAGAAAAAGGACATAAGAAAGGTTCCGATCCACTTTATAATCAAACCAATATTATTAATGTACAGGTTCACAATATTTCTTTTAAGATTAGTATGTGACTACTTTCACTTTCTATGTTTTATTATTGTTCCATTTCATCTTTTTACTGAAAGGAAAAAACACTCAAAACCAAGAAATAGTGATCATATCACTTTAAGGACTCTATCAGACATACAAAAGCACCATCATTCAGAAATCCTTGTTTTATAGTTTTGGATTTATTTATTTATTTAGGTTTTTTTTAAAAAAAAAAAATCCGTGTCTTCTAGCTATTCAGTCTACTTAAATCCATAAAAAGAAATTATTCTGGAACAAAAGCACAAATAAGAAAAGAATGTATAGGTATATTTTTATCTGTAGAAGGGATGTGTCAACCTCAAAATTATTCCTTCTCTTAAAAAAAGAATCCCCTACTCACCTGACTTTTGTTGGCAGCTACTTTGGCAAACAGAGCCTGAGACACCTTGGCCCTTTTCATCTCCTGTTGGATCTCGTCATAAATGGCAGCTGTGATGTTGATGTTGGCTCCGTCCACCTTAATGGGGAGGTCTGTTGTCGGTGTTGAGGTTTTGGCCTATCAAGAGACCATGAAAATAATAATTAAAATAGTGCTGCTTTCAGCCCAGCCATCTGTGCAGAAATTATCAAAGGATTTCAGTCAGCTGATGCCAAACTGCATAAGCTACAGAGGGACAATTCCTGTCCATTATTCTAATCAGGTTAATTGTGATTGGGAAAAATTGCAGAGCATTCCTATAGGACATACAAAGCATGTATACTCACTCTCTCTCACTCTTTTTTTCTACAAACATGCACACAGTATTCTTCAATTGCTCTGACTTTCAACACACACAAAAATATATACTAGGAAATTAAAAGGTTATGTATCAGATGAGGTAATGTTTAAACAATTATTTTATTCAGCTAGTCCTCAAATACAATATATTATCTATTTGAATATTTGAATTTTTGCTCCTTTTCCTTTCCCACCCCCCAAATCATATGTTGGAGGAAGAGCCAATTCTTCCAGAAAAAATGAGTAAATGCATAGAGGTCTCTAAATAATAAATTATTACTCAATTTAATGTACTCCCACAAGTCTCCTTCATTCTTTATTAAAATTATATGTATATCATTTGAGTATGTATGGTTTCCCATCATTATGCTGGCCAAACAGTCACCTAATTTCACCTAGGAAATCAGTGGGTATGAAAAAAGATTAAGTATGCCTGCCAGTGTGCTTGATATTCTGCCATTTACTTCATAAACCCACAATGCAGCTGGGTACATTCCATTACATTCCTTTTAAATAAATGATTTCCTATCAAATTCTATGACAATTGAAGGGCACTAATGATAGAATATTTCCTTCACAGATAAATCTACTATAAGAACTGAGATGGGATTTTGCTGCACAAAAATCTAGAAATCTACTGCACATTACAATGTAATTTCACAAATTAAAGTCAAATCAATTATTGCAAGAATTAATAAATCTTCCTAAACAATCATTTCAATCAAGAACATTTTACAAAAACATGCAGACCCAAAGTAATGACCAAGGACTCTACTCAAACTAGACTAGTAGACTTCCAAAATCCCTTCCAACTCTGATATTGTATTGAGCAAAGTTTTAGGACACTGAAATACACATTAAAGCAAAAAGTTAGAAAAGGGTGAAAAAGACTGAAAGAAGTAATTGCATTTCCCCCATGCTGATTCATTAGAATAGCATCCAGAGTAAGCATTTTATATTGGCTGAAAGTTTAATGGGGCTAAATACTTTATCATCTTTAACAAAAAAAGAGATGTCTTAACAAGGTATTATTTAACAAGGTATTATTAAAAAGGAAATGTGGGGTTTATGGCCCATTTGCCTTGTTTTTGACAATCCCAGATTTAAAACTTGCTGTAACATAAATGTCTTAAGAATATATATAGTATATTAAATATATATATAAGATTAGAACCATTTTGGAATATGTTTACCTGTGTTTTGTGGTCAATGTGGAGAAGCTCTAAATTATTCCACCATGATTTGTGGCCCAAAGAAGCAGAATCTTCTTTATTGTGGCACTAAAATTACAAAACTACAGGGAGGATTGCCTGGTTCTAGATTCACTAACTTGTTATCATGCAATATAAAAAATTATTTTAGCCAAATTTGTGATTATAAATTGTATTATTAAAAGGGCTTGAAAATTCACTTTTTCCTACTGTGTTAACAAGATTGTTTAAAGTTGCTGCTTTGTATTTTTATAATTATTATTTTATTTAAATGAAGTTTTATTTTTTCAGATAGACAAAATGGAACAAACATGAAAGAATGAAGTATATAAATATTCTTTGCTAAAATCAGCCTGACATAATCTGGGTTTTTTTTCCTAATATCCCTTGACCTTTACCAGAGAACAAATTAAGCAACAGAAGCCCATATTTAAATATTGCCATATTTATCACAAAATGTTTGAACTCTTTTTTTTCTGATCAGTTTGGCATTGATTATCTATTACCAAATACACATTCCAAAACAGAACTTGATCAGCTTGAAAACTACAAACGGTAAATTACAATTTTTAAAAAGCAATGTAATAGGGAGGAGAAAATGAACATTTACTATATTTCTTGATACCCTGAGATTATGCAAAATTGTATCACAGATTGGTATCTATGGAAACAGTATTTTTTATATAGGATTAACGTTGGCATCGGGGGGAAATTGTCTTTCATTTCAAATATGTTCTCTCTTGTCTGCCTATCTTAGCTATTTCTTAAGCATTCTTCTAGCATTCAATTATTCTTCTCAGTACTATGATTTAGGCAAAAATAAATCATATACACATTATAAAATCAGTTAACATATAGGAATTTTTCCCTGTTTCAGCAGCAGAAGGTAGCTTATATGATTGCTGATTTTGTCATTTCTAAAAGAAATCTATTCCGTTCTCTAGGTAATTTACTCACTTCTCTATTTTGGATGTAAGTATTCAAATGAACTGGCATAAATGTTATAGTTATCTTCTTACCAGGGTGACCAAATGAGTTTTCATTTACAGGCATCTTATGTTTTCCATAGGGAGGCCAACCAAATATCAAATATTACAAGGCTCCCAGAGTTATTGTTAGCTGCCCAGAGGCACTTATAAATTCTTTCAATCAATCAACGTTTGTTATCTTTCCAACACAAAGACTTTTAACTTTTAAGTTGTATTTTACCTTTGCTGTTAATTTTGTCCCTCTTCTATTTTTAGCAATGTTATACTTTTTTCTGTTAAATATTGCAACTGTTAGCTATATCCTGCTGTAGAAATTATTAACCTAAGGCTCAGGCATAAAAAGAGGAGAAAAAGCATAATCATCATAAGCTAAGAGCAAAGCCTTGTGATTATAATCAAATGTTCTTAAAGACAGAAGAGAAATAGAACACTGATACCTGGAGAGTAATTGCACAACAGCAAAACAGACATAAATGCCAATTTTCACATATTGCATATATTCACTTCCACCAAAGGAGTTAGATGTGTACACCCAGCCTTGCCCATTTTGGTAACCTCCCAGATTCTAAGTAAACATACAGTAATCTCTAGAAACATCACGAAAAATTAGTATAAGAATATTATCAGTAAAATATAAATTATAATATAATACTATATAAAATTATACTATGCCAAATAAGGGGAGATAAAGAAAAAGAAGAAAAGGAAAATTTTTAGAAAGCAACCCTTTCAAACAAATGAACTAAACAAAACTAGAAACTTTTTAAAAGTGCACACGTAAATTAGGTATAATCATACACACATACACTGTTTGAAGGAGATAATAGAAGAATGGCATGGCATGGCATGGCATGGCATGGCATGGCACGGCATGGAACAGATTAAAATAGAATAAAATAGATCCAGCTGTAAAAATCACTTAGCTTTTTCCAACTTCAGCATTATGATCCAATTTTTTAAAAATTATGAATTTTTTTTAATTTGCTAAAGAGTAAAACGTTATAGGTTCCATAAATTGGTCATCTGTCCTTCAAGCATTTATTTATGTTCTGTTAGCCATTTCATACCAGCTAAGTGTTCCCTATCTTCTCTAATATAATAGATACTGTGTCTAAAGTTTGATTCAGGCATTAATTTTCAGTGGTTCCGTTCTCCAACAACAATTGTGGGAGGAAACACAACAGTAACCATCCTATCATGCTCTCTGCTAGTAGGGATTCTGGTTCATACTTTTGGCAACAACTATTAGCAGTTTCATTTAACCACGCTCAACAGGCACATGTGCCTTGCTGGACAGGTTCACTTAAACTTTCATGACTCAAAACCATTCGGAAGGTTAAAGATCAGCACTTACATTTTGAATTGTATCCCGAAACCAACTATAGACCTCTAAAATATCTTTAATGAAATCCTTTAAACACATCCAAGTACTTCTTTTGAAAAGTTTTATTCTATTAGTTAGTTGCAATCAACCTAACAACCTCTTAATTTTATTTCAGCATTTCTGGATGCACTCTGGAGGACAATTTGCCAACCAGAAGATGAGGTACTGAAGCAACTGAAAACAACCGTAGGATAAAATTAAAGGTACAACCCCTAATTAAAATTATGAAAAAGTTCAGGCACACGTTAAGAATGAAGTGCACAATTGGTCCTGAAAGAAAATAACATGCCTAGCTCTGACCAGGGGTACATCATTGATTTGAAGAGATTCAGATCACAGCCAAGGTATATAATATCCTCTGTAGATATTTGAATTCTTTCATGTATTTAATTGAATGTTCATTCTTTATATTTGCAGCATTAATTTAAAAAATAATATATCAACTTCATCCCAGAAGTGTTACTAAAAGACCACATAGTTTAAAACCCTAAAAATTTAATATTTCTTTCTTTTCTAATAAATATTAGTTTGGGAAAAACCTAACCAGCCATCTTGTATGATGCCTGACTTTAGGTTTTCTGTATGAGGGAAGAACACTGAAAGCAATTACAATAGGGTTGAACCTTACCTGGGGGGTTCTGGAGGAACTTGGACTGCTGGCAGCTGAAGACACCATGCTCACATTGGGGTTCATACTCCTCTCTCTCTCATCCTGATATATACGATCTCGCTCTGTCTCAGGTAGGTTGAGGAAATTCTGCATTGCCCTCAGATTTACCAGGAGGGATTGGGAAGCTGTTCTAGGGTCTTCTTCTTTACGCAGTATCTCTGATAGCAATCCCTGGTTCAAAAAATTAAAAAAAAGTCCAAGTCTTTTAAAAAAAATGTGTTAGTTATAATTGGCCAGGCTGCAGTGTTGAGACCTTTCATCAGATGTCAAAGCACATGGAATGTTTTCTAGAAACAAACCTTGTTTTCTAGGGACCATGGCTGATTTAAGAGCAATTATATTTTAAATTCTACCTTTCATTTAAGAACAATCCAAATACAAATCTTCCAAAGAGGCAAGTGAGTAGTAAGACACCATTATAAAACTACAATTATAGCCAGGTGCCTAAAAACTATTAGAGCTCTCACTTTTTCTGCTTGAGGTTGCAAACACTTGGCAGTTCTGTTCAACTTCAGGAATCTGCCAAGTTTGGTAAATTTAGTTCAGACATTTAAACAGCTCAGGAGACTTATGAAGAAAAATGTTTGGCAAGGTTTGGATGCTATAGTTCATTCACTGCAAACTGTCAATTCTTTCTAATGGGGAAAATGCTGCAAATATGAGAAATCTTTAAGATAATTCATCTTTAAAATTAATTAATTTGGAAATTGCTGTCTCATTTAAAAGTTGGGAGATGCCAATGGTCAGATTCATCAAATATATCTAGATTGTTTGAGTCTTTTACATGAAAGAAGTCAGCAGTTCAGTTGTACTATAGCCTGTATAAAGTCTTAGACACCAAGCAGGGGTGGGATTCTACCAGTTCTCACCTATTTGCTAGAACCTGTTGTTAACTTTCTAAGCAGTTTGGAGAACCGGTTGTTGGAAGAAATCTTGTTTTTTTCCACTTTACAGGACTAATCCTGTAAGGAAGGCAGGAAGGACACATTTTGGTGTTATTTCTAGCCTTTATTGCCCTGCTTACAGAAACTGCCTCTCTGGTAACCCTTATTACATTCTTGGCAGTACCCTAGACTTCCTGTCACCTGAGCTCCAGAGTTTTTTTTTCTTTGCTGGTATTTTGCTGGGGCTTGAATTTCTTAAAAGGGAAGGGTTGTTTTAAGCTTTTTACACTGCTGTTGGGAGGAAATACTCCCCTGGAAATACTTCCAGCTGGGATGCAATGATCAGCACTTTGAAGAAATAATTGAATAACGAAGCAGAGCTGCTGGAAAGAAGCTTTTAATGACAAGGAACCAAGATGAGTGACATTCAGCAAGGATTATTGGCTAGCTAGAAAGATTGACATTCAAAACCCTTTCTGAGTTTTGGTCTAAAACTGGTTTTTGATGAAGTTTAATTCTGTGTTTGGTGACGTTTAATCCTGTGTTTATTGATGGGATAATTTTCCCTATTCAGCTTTGTTTGGAAGGAAAAGGGTTAATCTCTGTTCCTGAAAAGAAACTGGGTTGAGAAATCTGGCTAGTTCCTGTGTCTATTTGGTCTGGTAATTGGTTTAACAAGTAACAGCTACTGTTGTGATTGAATTATTTGTATTGTGTTTGAATTTTTTCCTGCCCCATGGTTTTTTTTTAATCTGGAGAGGGGGTCTTCCTTCACTGCTTTAGTGGTTCCTGGTACTGTTCTTTTGGGGTGTACTTCCAAGAGGCAGGATGCAAGCTTGGCACTGATTTTTTACTGCCTTTCTGGGGGGCATGTGATCTTTCCTTAAATCTGCATGATTTCCTTAGGATATCTTGTGAGGTGAGTGAGACTAGCTGGTGTCTTTAAGTGGTGCAAATGGATCTAAGGATTGCTTCTCCTGGGTGTGCTCTTTCTGGAGAGCTTCAATGACCTCTCTGCTAAAGAGTTTCACTTTATGAGCAAGAGTTGGTTGCTGATAGTGATCATTGCATTTTAGCTATTTTAATTCCTCAAGGTGCTCTGGCACCCTGCCTGATTTGTAACTCTGGCTTGAAGGTATTTTTAATCTAATGATTGGTATTTAGGGCAGCTTTTTGCAAGCTTTTTGTATTTTTGTATAGGTAACCGTTGACTTACAACAGTTCATTTACTGACCATTCAAAGTTACAATGACACTGAAAAAAGTGACTTATGACCGTTTTTCACTTATGACCGTTGCAGCATCCCCACAGTCACAAGAGGCCAGGCGAGGAGTAGCCCCATCGACGTGAGTGATGTCGAGTTGGCCATGCTCACCCAGTCACATCACCCAGCCATGCCTACTCAGCTGGCCATTAAGGGCAGAGTTAACAACTGGTTAGTTGTTAAATCATTTGAATCCCACCACTGATACCAAGTAAAGTCATAGAATATAAAAAAGTTACGGAGCACAATGACATAAATATTACTGATTACTCTGACATTAAAACTTTAGACTTTGATTAACAGAATCTCAAATCATTTACTGTATTTTCATATTCCTTTGTTCTACAGAATTCCAAATAAATTTTCCTCCTTATAGCAGATTCATAACTAGAAGATAACTCCTATTTGTGCTGCAAATAAATGGTACAACTGTTGCCTAAATGTTACAGTACTTTGTCCATGCTCCTCCTCCTTCCTTTTACCTGCACTCTGCATAAAACTTCATCATATTGCCTACTCCTCTGAAATACCATTCTCAGAAGTGAAAATCATTTGCTGCATTGTTTCTAGGCAAGAAAGTTTAATAGAGTTTATAGTGAATTAATGTGCCCCAAGCTTTTCAATATATATGGTCAAGATATATGGGGGAAATGTTCACAATTACTTAATATGAGAAATTCATGCATACATGAAAAAGTGAAACTGATGGTCTTTGAAGAAGCAGACTAGAATCACAAAGAGAAGACAACTAAAAAAAATGTTGGACCAATCACTCTCCCTCAGCCTAATCAACTTTTCACAGTTGTGGTTGAGAAGAAAAATAGGAGGGAACAGTATGTATGCTGCCTTGATCTTCTGTATAAAAGAATGGGTATAATTCTTAACAAATATTTTAAGATATATAGCAAATCAATGCAAAATATGAAATAATTATTCCAGGCACAGATGCTTATTATATGTTAAAAATATTTCTTCACATTAGTTACGTGCTTCTGCTTTTTTATTCATGAATAAAATGTACCTGACTACTGATTAATCTTAATCTGTTTCATGGCCATTTTTAGATGCATTAAAAAAGACAATATTTTAAAATACAAACTACCATAAGTATAGTAGGCATATTGTCTTGGAAAAAAGAACAGACAAATCTGAGAGGTTCTTAAGGATATGCCTTCAACAAGCATGGAAATCTTATGGTAATAGGAAGCCTCTACATTGGTTGTCTTATGTGTAATAGCTACCCTCTTGTGGTCTTGTTTTATGTATTCTTATTGTTTTTAATGAGTTTGTAAAATGTTTTTAATTCCTCGTTTTCATGGATTGGGAGCACCCTGGAGTTGCTTCACGTGAGAAAGGTAGCTATATGAATTTGACAAAAAAATAAAATAAAATTCTTTATAACTCTGCTTTACAAATGAAAATGTAAGTCCAAGACCAATAAAATGAATAATTAAATTTAATAATAGCTTTCTGAAACAAAGGACTGTCCTTTATAGCAGGGGTCCCCAACCACCGGTCCGCGGACCGGTCCCGGTCTGTGGAACAACTCCTACCGGGCCGCGGCTTGCTGGGCGCCGCCATCTTTTTTTCATGAAAAAGTGCTTCCGGCGAGCTTTTCCGGGTAGAAAGCTCACCGGAAGCACTTTTTCATCAAAAAAAGATGGCGGCACCCAGCTGATGCCGGTACCGGGCCGCGGCGCCCAGCTAATGCCGGTACCGGGCCGCGGCATCAAAAAGGTTGGGGATCACTGCTTTATAGTAAAGGAGATATGGGCATTGTAAGCATAAGGTACAAAAATGCAGTGACTTGACAATATCCCTCTTTTGTAGTTTGATTTTTTTAAAGTAAAAAATAATAGTCAGTTAATTGACCACTACCTTAGATTTTTACTTTGACTGGAATTAGCATCCTACTATGGGGGCCATAGGCAAACATTTTAATCTCCTGAAAAACTATTGTTATGTGTTTCTGCTAAGAGGTAACATCAGTAATCTGTGTCTTTGTAACATTGCTCCTGGTGTCACCTAAGGCATCTGGCATCCATAAATCTGAAAGTTTATTTTACAATCTTCCTTCTGCAAGACCTAACTTGCACAACCACTACAAAGATTGCTAAGGTTCCTTATAATAGTTAAAGCCTGAAAAAGTTGGATGGTATTCTTTTCTTGTTATTGTTTCAGAAAACTGTTTTCTTTTTATGTTTTATGTATGGTTAAATTCTATAGTTGTGTTTTTGAAAGAGGGTTCATCCTAATGTTTTCGCGTTAAGTGCAGGGTTCACCTTTTTTTCAAATCAACTAAATGATCCACTGGTTATGAGAAGGATTGACTCACCAGTTTGTCATCGGAACCTGATTACGTGGGCTGAGAGAGTGACTAACCCAAGCTTGCCCAATTGGCTTTTATGCCTAAGGGGAGACTAGAACTCACAGTCTCCTGGTTTCTAGCCTGATACCTTAACTACCAGTAACCTTAACCACTACTCTCAACTGTGCTTTTTCGGTCTGAAACCATAAATACACCTACACCTGTTAACCTAATTTCTCTTTTATTTTTGCCTATTTAATGCAATTGTACATATTTTAGCTTTATTTGATAATATTTATTGAGCTTGGGATGAACTTTTAAACTCAAAGGAAAGCTTTTTAAACAGTTGCTTTTTCAGACACTCATCTCTTGAACTGGGAGGCAAACAACATTAATAAATAATAAATAAATAAAATAATAATCATGAAGATATGAAACTATTTCTTCCCAAATTTTATTTTTTGTAAAACAATAGGACTAGAAACTATTTTCATGCCTAAAAAGCAAAGTATGTAATCACTTAATTAAGCAGTTGCATATAGATTAACATAGAACCTGCATGTTAAAAACAAATACCATAATTCAGATATACCTAGGAAGTATTATCATATCAGTTTCCGATGTTAAAAGACTCTCAAAAAATGTCCTCACTCCTAGATTCTTACATATGACCAAGTCTGAAAACACAAACACTTTACTGGTTGGGCTATGGCTA